TTAGACTGAAAGGAATCTATGAGATACAAGTTTTGGTAAACTTACCTCTTGTAATCACTTCCGCTTCTTTGCTGCAACTTCCTTCTAGAGTATCTGAGCATCATCATCCATGTTACTTACTTGGAGTTCAACAGCCCTCAGATCTCGGAGATGTTGCAAGATCTCATGGAGAAGATCCATACCTTTGTCTCCTTTCTTTACAGAGCTCACACAATGCTTTAGAAACTCCCTATCTGCTTCGAGAGCTTGTAGTCTCTCGTAAACGTGATCCACCTCTTCAACAATGGCTAGTCTTTTGTTATCAAGATCAAATGTGGAAACTGATGAGTTCTGAATTTCAACAGAATCAAATTCTGCTTGTTCTTCATATATCAACCCTTCTGTTTCATTACCGGTTGCTTCCAGAAGAGGAAGGAGGCTCTTCGCCATGGAAGCCATAGTTTTTTTCTCAGGGTAAAGCCCGTCCTTAGAAAAATCATTTGAGTCTCCATTTTCTGTTGGACTGCTAAAATCATGGTTCTTATCAAACTCATTGACAGCATAGTTTGAGGGTTGGTTTATTGATTTCAAATCCTCAATGAATTCATCATCACCTACTGAAATTAGCTTCTCTTCTAGTACCTTAAGCTGATCTAGAATGGACAGCCTCTCTTCCTCAAATTCTGTCAATGATTCATCAAGCGCTGTCATATGCTTCACACAATCTAGCGCCATTTCCTCCAAATTTACAACTTCATCGGCTGGAGTATTGTCGCTAGTGCTTTCTTGACGGCCGGATAAGCTACTATCTTCATCCCTTGCTTCACGATTAAGATCAATCGAGAGCTCATCGGTATCCTCTGAATTACTGCAAGAAGCAGAAGATTTCCTGCTTCTTACACTTCCATCAGTACTTCTCCTCATCATTCTCATCTTCTCTTTCGCCTCATAATCCAGAACCTTCTTGTGATATATTTCCAATTCTTTCTCAAGTTCTTGCTTCTCCTTTTCTCTCTTGACCATGAGCTCATTCAGAAGTTGTAAGGCTTCCTGGTCATATTCTGACTGTTCGTCCATCATCCTCTGGTATTGCAATGCTTCCATTTGCATTGCTGCCTTCTCCTCTTGAAGCCTGGTTATCATAGCCATGGTTTGGTTTGCAGCAATTGCGGAGGCACTCCTTTCTTCCTCTAGTTCTGCATATAAGGCACTCAGGGCTTTTCGTTCGGTTTTCAGAGCTGACCTCAACCGCTCGATTGTTAGGACAGGATCACTACTTTCCATCTCACTTACCACACTTCCATCTAAAGACTCTTCTGTTCCCGATTCTCTTTTCTCCAACAATAGTAGTTTCTTGTGCAAGTAGTGGAAATTTTCAGCATAAGTGGGTGTGTCAGGAAATTTCTCTTCATCTGCTTCATTAGGCTCCGAACGAATGGACAAATTTAAGTTTATCCCTTCTTGATTCTTACAAACCAAACTCATATTTTCCAGTATGGTGTCTGTCTCTGCATGCTTTTGGTCTAGTTAAATACCAAAGCTAAATTAGAATCTTATCACCAGATATCATATGCAGAAGAAAGATATTAAATTTACTGCTTACCAAGATCATTCTGACCGATGTCTTCAGAGGGGTTAATAATTTCAGCATCAGGGGTGTTCATGGAAGATTGGTCTTCTTGTTGGCATGGCAATGCGAGTTCTTGAGCTTGAGGCTGGTTGGCTGCATGATCGGCTGCTTCGACTTCAGCCACTGATAAGTTAGACTCATTTGCTTCTTCGGTTCGAGCTGTTTTTAATCAGCAAATTAGTAATTAGGTCGAAGAAAATATTACAGGCCATGTTAATGGAGGATTTAATTCATTATAATCATTTTAATGTACCTGTAACTGTAAGGCTACCTGGTTCATTCATACTTTTTGCTTCAACCTCATTTCCATTTGTGGATAAAATCTGATCTACTTGATTAGCAATAACTTGTTCACATGCCTCACCAACCAAATCTTGCATTTCCTCTTCAACATTTTGAACTGAAGAATCCTCAACTTCCCCGATATATGTCTCTGATCTTTCAAATTCTTCATACCTTGTCTTCTTTCCATTGTCATCCGTTCCAATTAATTGTGCATCTACCAAGACATTGGCTTGTGTTTCACTCAGTAGTAATGAAGAATCAAAAGTTTCAATTTCGTCAACTTTTGTTCTGAGCACTCCCTCATCTACGTTGCAGGATACTTGATTTGCAGTAGTTGATGAATCAATCAATTCAATAGGAATTACACGATTGAAACAAAATTCAATATTTCTTTCGGAACCCAGGTTGATAATTTCAAGTAAATCATCTTCAGCAGAGCAGAATTGAATGATATTGTCGTCATCACGAGAATAATGAACAGAAGCCTTACCTAATTCCTCACCTTCATAAGCTTCCTTTTCTTCATATTGCAGGTTTGATTCAGACCTTGAGTAATTTTCCTCCGCAACTTCTGTGAGGCCAAAACTATCAATATCAGAAATAACATGAAACTCATCCACAGCTTCTTTATCATTATGACATTCTTCTCCGTGGTTTCTCTCAATCTCATTGTCATTTTCATCCAGACTTGCTTGGCTGTTAGGCTTCTTTTTCTCTTTGAACTGAACTCTATTGTTGTCATCACCCATTGCTTCAGTAATCAGCCCTCCTCTCTGTGTATAATCCAAAGCACCCCAAGAAGACTTGAAAAGCAAGTAAGGCGGATAGAGCTTATTTTTCAAACTCTCACTGCAGCAAGAACATCTGAGAGCCTGATCATCATCATTTTGAAGTTTGTGTGTACTCACCAAAGAAATGTACGCGATCCTCCTTGCCATTCCAATGGATTCATCGTTGTGTTGTGGTCGAGAAGCCAAGCATTCTGCGCACATATTTTGTGTTTCAGCCAATCTTTGATGACTCGAACAATAAGTCAACGTGGAAATCTCACCAGCATGAGTCTCGCACACAAGATCTCTGTAGGAATTTGTATTATTTCCAGGCTCCAACACGTGATCGACTCTAGAACACCATAAGCAGGGTCGTTTAAGGCCAAAGTAGTCGGCAAATTTCGTGATCAAATAAGTGAACAAAGAGTTGAGGAGAAGGAGAATGATTAAGATCCATTCGAGGACTGCATAGACTAGAATCATAGTGATTTTGTGGGTGTTTTTGTGCAACATGGTTGCAAATTTGTTTCCAGCCATGAATGTTGCTAATGCTTTCTGTTTATTTAACACAAACACACGCAGAATCGAAGGAAAATGCTTTCTGAAGTGCTGGGAAATAAGGAACAGAAGAAAGAATGAAAGAAGAAACTTTATGAAAATGTTGTTGCAGGAGAAGCTGGGATTCTCCTCATAATGTTTTATTTTACTTGAGTCTTTAACAGTATTTTATTACATTTTATAATTGCAATTCCGTCACTCTAATTATACCGTAATGTCTACCTAGCAAGGCTTGTAAGACTTTAATGACCCTGTTCTAAGCGGGATTTTTTAATCTAAGTTCGGGTTTATTTTATTTTCACATTTACGAAATCGCTTTAATTGAAATTTATCCACTTCCTTAAAGAAGTATTAAATACGTCTATCGGGGTTTTTTTAATAATTTTATAAACAGGTGTTTGGTATTTTTTGAGGGGTTTTTTAATATTTTTCGAATAAAACAGATATAGGGAAACTACTCTTAGGTAGTCGAGTGGTTCGATAAGGACTCTTGGGTGTATTACTTAAGAGGTCCTGAGTTTGAGTCATTCCTTAGTTGCTAATAGAGGTAGCTACTAGAACTTTTACCTGACCGATAGTTCTAGAGTCCCGAGAATTAGTTAAGATGCACGTAAACTATGGCCCGGACACCCCCGGTCATAAAAAAAAAAAAAAAAAAACCAGATATAGGGAAAATAAAATAAACCCATCCAAATTCATTAAGAAAAGTTTCAGCATTCAGGGTCAGTTTAGGGATTCTGGTTTTCATTATTTGAGCTTCATGATGGTGATTAATTATGATTAGAAATTTTTACCTTGAAAATTCTTCAATAGTATTTGATTAAGATTGAGAAGCATTGTATTGTTAAAGGCAATTGATTGGTGAGTTTGTCAAACACTTAAAAAGGTAATTCACACTTAAAACTATTACAAAGAAGCTGAGGAGAATGTAGCCATTTTGGTCCACTGAAATTGATTTAGGGTTCATCATGCGCAAGAGGAGTGGTCCACCACCATAGCACCATCCATATGAATGGTTTTTGGCGATAGCAGCGGCAGTCCATTGCATGTATAATGTACAATTGGCCCACCTGCAATCTCATTTCCAGACAAACGCTCTCACAATTCAGCTTCATGGATTATTTCTATAATTTTTTTTTCTTTTTCTTTTTTTTCTTTCAGGCTGTTAATACAATCCCAGTAATTCAAAACCCACTTGCCCCCTTTTTCATGGGATTGTTTTATTTATTCTTTGATTAGATTTCTCCATAAACTTCCATTTGCTTTTTTATTTTGTATTACCTTTAGCTGTCCTATAGGCTTATGCTGTGAATTATATATAATTTGTAAATATGTGTGCTTTTTATTTCATTTATCTGTTGTAATACGAAAAACATCCACTTTTTTTAAAAGTATTAAGTACCATTTTATAAAGAATTTTTTTTTATAGGTTTTTTTTTTTTTTTTTTTATGATCGAAGGTGTCTGGGCTAGCTCACGCACATCTCAACTAATCCTTTAGAACCTTGGAATTATTGGCCGAATAAGAGCTCCAATGACTACCCCTATTAACAACTGAGGAGAGACTTGAACTTAAGATCTATTGAGTAATACACCCAAGAATCTATATCGAATCACTCGACTATCTAGAGGTAGTTGATGCTACTCTACTCAGCTGATCTCTAATTGAAAATTTTCTTACAACAAAGCCACTTGAACAGTAGCTATGTACTTCAATTCTAGAAAAAAAATTAAAGAAAAATTCTTACAATTAACCCATTTCTCATTGAATAGAAGGCTCATATATACTTGTAATAATAAATGTATTAGATATTTTAATAAGGAGAAGAGAAATGGGATTCAATATTTTAACCCAAGTGAAAGGCAGGAATGAATGATGAAACGAAGGTGTCAAAAGTGGTGAGCATTATGAAAAGGCTAAGAAGAAAGAAAAAGTGTAGTTGAAAAAAGAGGGGGAAATGGATCAACTTAGGGGACTATGATTGTGACTAGAAACCTTTGCCTGTACAAAGCTTTAATTAATGTGCTGGGATCACGGTCCATCTCTCTGCTTTTGCTTTTAGTGGCCCTCACCCTCAGCTTTCTTTAGCTTTTGGAAAGTCCATTCCTGGATTTAAGAATCACAAAACAGTTTTAATCCAGGTATTCAACAAAAGGGTACTTAATTAAAAGAAAAATTAGATTAAAGCAAAGGGAACCAGTTCACCACACCAACTGCCAAAAGTTATTAAAACAGTAAGGGATCATACAAGTTTAGCAATTCAATTTTCCAAGGAACTTATTTAGGTCCAGTGATGGAGCCTAGCATTTTGTGGGCCCAAATGATGACCCATTGTCGCCGCTTGATTTGGATGGAGCCTCCATCAGGTGGGTCCATTTCCATATGATCAAATTTTGACATAACTTGTGCCAAAATGAAGATTTGCAACAAACTGGCATGTGGGGTGTTTTAGTTTTACATACAGAAGCTTGCATATTGGAACTAAAAGGTTTAGCATTCCAATTGGGAAAAGTTCAGGTTCATGAACCAGCATTTCCATTATTGACTTCCTTTATTAGGTATTTAGGTGTTCACGAGGAGGCCAGCAATTAGAACATACATAGTTTCACAATTGTTTATTATTTCTCACAATCAACTTCGTCATGGCATGATTTATCTATTTGTCAAAGACAGTTTGGTAATAACATTCTTTATACTGTGTCAGAATTAAAAAATAACTAACAGTGTTAATTTAAAAGTGAGAATTTAAAATTTATGAAACCACAAACTTGCCATTTCACCGAACCTTGGGTGGGTACATGTCGTTTACTCTTTTAACAGAAAAATACTGGGCATTTAAATGAGACCTTTGAGAGAAAGTCTTCTAAACGCAATATGGTGAATTGGAAGCTAAACTTCATTATAAAAGGGGTGCTTAGATTGCTGCCTAGAATGAAATGTACTTGATCCTAAATTGTCCATATATTTTATGATTAAGTAAACCTACAAAAACTTCCATTATAGGATCTTAGGATGCTATAATCTTCATCAATGTTGTATGAAATGAGTGAGCACAGGACACAGAAAATGAATTAAAGGAAAATGCTAAATTGGAACATAAGGGAGTCCTTTAGATTATCACTTAACCAATGCGGATGATAAGTGGTTTCACTTGTCAGTACTTCCCTGAAACAAGGGAAGCCACTATTATCTTAAGGAATGCAGTGAGGCTAAATGTAGATATTTACAGTATAATTGTCTTGATAGCTTCTCAGTTTGTATCTGCATCATCACTGGATTCTTCACTATCTGCTTCCTCCGCGAGCTTTAGATTCATCATAAATCTCCAGCTATCTCCTTCTTCTATTTCCCACTGTTTCTTCAGTTCATAGATTGCTTTGGATGCAGCAACAGCGACTGCAGGGTTGCTATCTTCAGCCAGTCTCTGCCAGGGGAAGCAGGAACATAAGTTGCTGCCGTTCAGGAAAGAAGGTACAAGTATAATCATGTGTAGAATCATCATGTTAAGAGAGTACAGGTACCTGCAATGCCCCCATCCCCGCATTGCCAAGAGTCCACATGGATGGAGCAGCTGCTAATGCATTGGCCAATGCTCGTCTATGACATAGTCAGACAGCACGAGTGAATCAGCCGGGGAGGAGAAGGGTGGTTAGGAACATATAAAGACAAAAAGTTTTTCCATGTGGGTGTCTTTCGTCATATTACAGATATTCACTCTCCAATTTTTATACATATCCGACTTTGACTTTTCTAATTATATAGATATAAACGGCATAGGATTGTCATGTATTATAGAACTAAACAAAAGTACAAACAAATTGCCAGCATGCAATAGAAAATGCCCATAGGAGAATATGCAAGTTCAAGGCTCTGAAATGACACAAGAAATAATAATGCACAGACAAATCCAGTAACAACAGAAACAGAATCTAACACTTCTACTGCTTGTAGCATGCAAAATTTGTCATAGTGATTCATTTATTGACCCTCAAACAAATTAAAAGTCAAAATGCTCTCCGGACAACTTAGGGAATATTTTTAAATAATCAAGGAAACAATTTATCTGAAAAAGAAAAATCCCGGTGGTTTTACTTTCTCAGAAGACGTCAAGAGGCTCACAAGTTCTTCCTTGCGTGAATATAAACATGACCTCTTTACACAAGGAAGTGATCAATAAAAAATTTTGCAGTAGTGGATTAAATTTAAAAACAAAAATCACATAAAAAGCATACCTGGTGCTGACATCAGGAGAACTTGAACACTCCGCCAGTAGCGATACACTACTTTTACCATCCATTGCATCAAGATCTATAAGAGTTGCGATCAACAATTCAAGCTGTTCCAAAGCAGAGAGAGAAGGTAACTAAGCAAACAAGGTAAAATCCTAATTACATAAACTTCTCCACATAAGCACAAATAAGAATGCTTGTAATCTGAACCTCTTCAGGATCAGTATAGTCAATTCCATCAGCTTCAGAAAGTGCAGATGCCATACTCCAATACACTTCCTGTTCATTGTAAATGAAAAGGTATAAAGTTTACCCTTCATGATGCAATAAATTAAGGAAATAGCATTAAGATTGGCATCAAGAAGGACCTGAATAGCAGTAATACGATCAGTAGACACTTCCCCGAGGAAGAATTCAAGGGTTTTCCCATTTTTCTCAAGCGTTATACGTTCCATCATATCAGTACCTGATAGAGAATTTTTTTCTCTACACAAAGGGCTGAATTCCAATAAAAGATTAGAATTTTAAAGTTCCAACCCTGAATAGTTTACAACATTTCAGAAAAGAAGAATAGAAGGAGAGACAGACTATCACCAAAGAAACTTACAATTTGTACATCTTGCTCACCATCATGTCAAGGATATTTTTGACAAACTGGGTAACCACAAGGTGAAAAGAACATTAAATGGCTTCTTAGAACCATAGAAATAAAAAAAGATTTACATATTTTCTTCTTTTTAAGGTTGGTAAAAACATAAAAGTACAATGACAAATAGATTTAGGCCGGTTTCTGGACAAGTGTGACAACAATCATGAGATGAACACTTAAACTGATGATGCTGAGCGCAACTTTTGCTAAATAAATTGGATATTGGCTCACCTCCAGAGCCATTAGGGCATCTTCCATTGCACGTTGCTTGGCACGGAAGTCAGCAAGGCGCAGATCAGCCTAGAACATAGCCAATTGATTGCATCAGGATGTATTAGACAAGACTATGCTCTTTCAACAGATACATTTACCAATTTCAAGGGCATATAAGTTTCATAGATATGCATTCATCTAATATAAATTAAGTAGCAGTTTATACAGAGAAACAGATCATAAATATATTAACTTCTAGTTTGGATATAGCCATTCTAGAGTTTATTTCCTTTCATCTTTTCAACTTTTTAATTCACCTCTATGGTCATTTACTTTAATGCAAATTGAAGCTTTCGCTTGTGGACCTTGACTTGAAAGCTAGGGGAAACTAACTGTCTAAGATAGTGGCCGGCAAAAAATATAGGCAACTTATTACGTTGTTCACCAATTAACTTCCATTTCTTCAATATTTTCTAACTTGCAAACAATTTTCCAACATTATTTACTAATTTTTTAGGTGATTATGTTTGATCCATAAAAAGAATTAAATGAAGTAAAACAAACAAAGTGCTCATGTTGTGCATGCATTAACATAGACACGCTGCATATGCTAATGCGATAGTCCAAATTGTTCCTTCAATCAATTTCAGTTGACAAGTTAAGATTCACAATAGAACAATAAGAACTGCACTTGTTAATACATGAACTGATGTGAAGAAAAAATTACAGGGTAGGTGATAAGTTCACTCCAAAAAAGCTTCTTTCACTCTTCATCATGAATGGATAAACCAGATCTCAACTTATCATATTATTCACTGTCAAGATATTAATAAGTCAAGGCTAATATAATAGCCATAAGAAATTTTGGTCAATTGAGATGCAAAAAAGTGAAAAAAGCACTCTTGGGAAGGACTGTTTTAAATTGGATACGGAAGTACTAAAATGTAACGGACACAAACTGCTCAACATACACATAACAGACCTCAAGTTCCAGATCTTCAGCTGAACTTACAGATTTTTTCATGATAGCACACACATTAAGTGAAGTGATAGATGAATAAATTGAAAACGAACGGCTAAAGCTACCTCTAAGGCTCCATCACTCCAATGCTTATCAGCAGCTCTTTTCAATCTAGACTGTGCTTTATCTTTTAAGATCTGGCGGAAGATGTAAAATTGATTAAACATTAATCACAAAGAGACCTGATATGAACATCTTAATCTCCAGGAAAATCAAAGTTGAGCATCCAGATGGACATACAGTAGCTATATGATGGAGCCGTTCAGCTTTTTGCTTCACATCACGGTCAATTTTCTCTGTATCCTCTCTTGCCCGAGCTTCCAGCAGAATTTCAACAACAAAGGAAAACCATCAATTTGACATGTATCAAATCAAGAAGATTATAGCATATTGACACCACATTTGAAGATAAAATAATAAGATTAAAAAAAAAAAGGCAGGGCAATTCCATTATACTTTCCATCACATTTACTACCAATATTCTTTCCCCTCTCCCCCAAAGAATCGATAACAGGAAAATAATTTGAATCCATTACCAGTTTGAAATAAATTTATGCACTCTCTGAAAATTCCAAGTATGAATCTATGCATGCAAGAGAATAGGTTTATCTAAAATGGTAAAAATCACACTGATTCCACATGCCTTGAAATAAAATTTAATTGCGGTGTCCAGATTCTCGTGGTAACAGATGTATAGCATTTAGGGAGCCACATCGGAACAGATAAAAATATTTAACCTTGAAGTCAAAGAGTTTACCATCAAGCTTAAGAAACTTTGAACCAAGAATAGCAACATCTTGACGTGCACGGGCATCTAACCTCATTATGCTTCTGAAGAAATTTAGAAAACAATGAGCAAAGATCTCCATGTATATGAAATTTGAAGGTGGAATAAAATTTAAGCGAAAAAAAAAAAGTTGCCATTACACTGCCAACAACTAATTCTTTAAATTGAGTAGAAACAGTGTGAAAAACTTCTTTGATATTCATGATAAAAGTGGAATTTACAAATAGATTTTCAAATCAAGTTTATAATGAATTTATCACTCATAATTAAATAATTCGCACATAATTTGTAGAGGCTGCAGATTTTGCAGGTAAACCATAAATTGTTCACAAAACTTCTGAATCTTTAAAGAAAATTCATATTCTTTTCATGAACAAACACACTGGATACTAAAACTAAGGATCAATGACCACTATAGCAACCCCATTTGACTAAATCACAAGGAATGGAAAAGGATTCTGGATATACCGAGAAAGCAAGACAATGTCACTACGAGCCCTTTCATTTACGAACTTTGCATCGTTGTACACAAATTTACAAGCTTCAGCTAAGCCCTGACTTGAGTGAATAATTCTAGGTACGACTGGATGCTTGTCTTCCTCTTCTCCATTTTGTGCACTGATAAACAACAGGATAGTCTAAATATAATATGCAAGTATAGCATCAATTAAGCTTCACATACAAATTATGTGCCAGCATCCACTGGAAAAAGAATAAAACATCAGAAAAAGAAGCATTAGTGCCAGTACAAGACATAGCCAAGGTGGTTACTAAAAGAAAAATTCATCATTCATGAGGATCCAAAGAACGCTAGGCATGAAAGCTGAAGGCAAAACAGAAAGGGTTTCTTCTGAATAGAGTATAAAGACATAATATCGACTTGGTCCTTTTTCTACAAGTGGCAAAGTAAATCTAAGAATTCATGCCACTGTCAATATATGAAGTTGTCCATCATGATGTGCCAAAGCCTAGATATTAGGGATCTGCCTTCTGACTCGTGCCCAACACCCCATGTCCAAACCAGAAGACGAAAAACCTTATAATCTACACAACTTATACTCAATAATACAACTAGTAAGCAACATATATATTCAACGCATTAAATAGAAAGAGTCATTGAACTTCATTACCTAGATACATCAGAGGAATCACCATAAGGTCTAATGCATTCTTTTTCTTTGCTATTGCGTGTTCCCGTTGACCAGCATAAAATGGAACTTCTCCGAAAGACAATGAAACCAATTGGCTTTCCACATATGTTTGACAAACCCTCATCAGAGAAGCCTAATTTTGATGCCAAAAGATGCCCATTGCTCGCTTGCCGAAACTCAACTCTTTGATTTGTAGGAAGTAATTGATTGTGCGGTGTTGACTTGCCAAAAGAATATACAGTTTGAAATGATCTAGAGGAAGTTATCCCCTTTGGTAAAACTGGAACATTAGAAACCTTGCCAGCAGTAAGTGCCATGGGAAGGATCAAGATGAAAATGCAATAATCGCAACCAGCATTTCCCTTACAACAGCTCAAAGCTGCAATAAAAACAGCAATGGGATAAGGATCTCAATATCTAGCTAAAATCTACCAGAAAATGAATACTGAATTACTAAAAGTTGTTCTAAAGGCATATTAAATGAATACGAAAAAGCCAAGCATCAAATAGACATTATCATATCGTATTTAATGAATCACAAGAAAATAAATAAATAAATAATGGAAGTATTATTGTCGAGCTGTAACATCAAACCTAATGATAATAGTCATAAATTTTTGAGACAATACATATCCATCAAGCAACAACATCTTAGTGCCAAATGAAATTAAATTCTCATAGACAGGTCAACAAATAGGAATTGATTGCAGCACCTACACTAAATTGAACTGTTGGTGTTAAAGTTATATGAAATTTCAGGTGTCTGAAAATTTCTTAAAGCTCAAAATTTAAGATTTTAAAAGCATCAAATGGGTCTCTAAGGAATATCATAACATTTCAAATTGGAAACTTTTTTGGTTAAACTTTAAAATATAAGAATTGAACTAATAAAATTACTCAAAACCAGAAGGATTAAAAAATGCATATGTTCAAAGCAATACATAAGAAGGTATATTCAATTATTACTTCTCAATTCTCATATCCATTGAAGCATAAGTCAAGAAAGTAATTTATTAAAATTTGTGGGAAAACAATCATCAAATTATATTAATTCGCATAATCTTAAGTTAACTAATTAACTAGAGAAACACTTGGATTAAAAAATGTTAACAAGTTCAACCTATGACAATTGGTCAAAGCAATATGGAGATAATTCAGCTGCCAATGCAGTAGCTTTTAAAGAATTTAGTAAAATCCCTTCAGGAAATTTGTGAAAAGTTCAAGAAAGGTAAATTCTATATGCTACAAAAGAAACCGAACCAACAAGTATCAGAATCATACCACAAAAGAATTATTAGAAAGAAAACAACTTCACTGCTAAAGAGAAGAGTGATCACTATTCATTCAATTTCACTACAAACAAGGGAAAACAAAAGAAACCCAGGGGGCATATAAGCAAGAAGCAATGAAAGATTGAGTTTATAAAACAAAAATGCGAAGAAAGTTGAATTAAACTAACCTGTTGCGAAGCCCAAAAAATTCACTGAGCTACCAAACAGAGAAAGAAGTGGTTAGAACTTAGTAGAAAGAAATATAGTCCAACAAAACTGAGAAGACAAATATCAGCCACAATCTATCCCTGTGGCCCAGTGAACGCCACAACGTACCAAACTCACTAGAATTTTTTTTGTGGGGGAATGGGGTTCACATTTCACACCTATGCTGTCAATTTTCATGTATACTCTATCAAATTTCCCCACAAATATTTATTTCTTTCGGAACTTATGAATCATAATTATGGTATTTGAGGAGCAGTTATATTAAAAATAAAATAAAAATTAGCGAGTTATTCGATAAAAAATTAATTTTATTTTAAAGTTATAAGCAATCAAGAAAATAATTGGTTTTTCCGTCTTCTTAATTTATGTTAAGACTTTAGAGTTAATATTTGAAAACATTTCAAATTTTATAAATATTTTATAAAATCTCTTGTATTTCTTATATTTTATTATTATAATAAAGATATATTTAAATTATAATAGAAATAAAAGGATAAAATAACATGTAAAGGCTTTGTCATATTCGAACATGTAATCATCTACATTCAAGTCATTGGCAATAGCGTTAACAGTGGCCAGAAGTTGTGGATATGATTTGCCACGTCATGCCAAGATATTGTTTTTTATGACATTGTTGCCTTCACCTCTTTTATATAATGACAAAATTGCCCATCAATTCTGGATAACGCATCATTATCTGCTCCCTTTGAGCTTTTCCATTTTTGTTTTGATTATATTACTTTCAGGAGGCATTTGGTTGGGAGTTCTTCCATTTTTGTTTTGATTATATTATTTTTAGGAGGTATTTGGTTGGGAGTTATGTAGGATTACTAGAGTTAAGTCATCTTATATTATTTGATTATTATGTTTGATTTGTCAAATAATATAAAATTTTGGTAATCTTCAAATATCAATAGTGGCTATTGTTGGTAATATTGAAGGTAATCTGATTACCTCAATTTTCTTAGATATTATAAGTTATTTGAGTAATATATATATATATTTTTTATAATTATATCCCTTATTAATAAACCTTTAAGACAATAATGTTCTTATTTTTAAATTTATTTACACAAATCTTGCTTTTACCATTTTACCCCAATTAATTAACTTTTTTGATAAAATTACCCTTAAAATCAAAACAAATTTCAACTTACCCAAGCTACCACCCCCACCCACTTGCTGCCACCAGCCAAACCGCCGCTGGTTGCTACGAGAAATCGCCAGAAGTCACTTGGAATCGCCGTAAACAGCCATATCGAGGCCTCCCGGTCACAGTGGGCTGTCACAGTGACTTTCGACGATAGTTCGCAGTGGTGACAACAGGGTGGTGGGGGTGAGTTTGTTATAAATTAAAGTTTTATATAAACGAAGGTGTTTTAACTAAATTTGAAATATTGGGGATTAAAAGAATTATTTAAAAAATAATATTATATTAATATTTAAAAAAATGACAATTTAGTAATTTAAATAACATACTTATCAATTTATTCCTCCTCACCAAACATATTAATATAACATATCTATTAAATTATTCCAACTAACCAAACACATTTTTCTTAAAGATTCTCATTAATCTTCAAGATAATATAAGATTCTAATAATCCAACATTCCATGAACCAAAAGCACTTTTAAAGTTTTAATAAACTACTTCGTAGATATCTTAAAAGGAAATTAAAATAAATATAAGATATTATACTTTGAATAGAGGTGGAAAAAGATTTAAGGAGTAACCAGCATAGTTTCAACACAGCTTTCATGCGCGCGAGTATCCATTACAAATAGCCTAGAAAAAACTGAGTATCAAGCGTCGAAGTCATGATGCACCCAAGCTGTCCTTTGCTCTGGTGTCATGTTCACAAATATCTCACGCCATGCCGGCTTGTCAACTAAGAACTTCACAGCCCCGATGAATATCTTGAAATCCAACTCCATACTTGCTAAAATGTGCTGACAGTTTGCCATGGAATATAGATCAGTTGCAGCGCTTGTGTTCTCTTGTGCATTCTCATCGTCAAAGTCATGATGCACCCAAGCTGTTCTTTGCTCCGGTGTCATATTCACAAATATCTCATGCCATGCCGGCTTGTCAACTAAGAACTTCACAGCCCCAATGAATATCTTGAAATCCAACTCCATACTTGTTAAAACGTGCTGACAGTTTGCCATGGAAAATAGATCAGTTGCAGTCCTTGTGTTCTCTTGTGCATTCTCATTGTCAAAGGCATGATGCACCCAAGCTGTCCTTTGCTCCGGTGTCATGTTCACAAATATCTCACGCCATGCCGGCTTGTCAACTAAGAACTTCACAGCCCCGATCAATATCTTGAAATCCAACTCCATACTTGTCAACATGTGCTGACAGTTTGCCATTGAATATAGATCAGTTGCAGTGCTTGTGTTCTCTTGCGCATTCGATCGATACGCTGCCATATATGCCTTATTCCTATTAGTAATAACCTCTGTCAATTTTTCAATACTAGCCAAAAGTGGGTTTTCACGAACGCTTTTCTTCTTCCTATCTATGCATCTTCCATGTCCAGACATGTTTGATCGTTTTTCCCCAGATAATCTATCTGGATCAGGTTTCAACTCAACTTCATCAATGTTCACCGCTACGGTATCTCTCAAAAAAATGTTGGAGTCCAGTGCTTGAGATGCAGATGTGTAAGCCAAGTTTACTGCTGCGTTTTGCTTGTTGAATATAACTTCATATAACTCTTTATCAACAAGTCCCTTATGTAGGAAGTTCTTTGCCCTTGGGTTTTGCTGTTAATGAAAACAAACATACATTAAATTTCATATTTCCCAAAAAAATTCATACAAGTTACTTTGTAATAAAACTCATAAAAAAATTGAGATTTACCTTTAAATAATCTTGCCAAATCTCTTTAGAACATGTTGGAGTTTGAGACTCATGATCCCAACTGAACCCCCTATGTTGAAGTAGAGCACGCCAAGAGTTATATACCGCTCTCAAGCGAAAATACTTAGAAGATAACTGATCGACTTCAATTTTCTTCCTTATTTTAGTCCATAACTTATCACTAATAATCTTGTACTCAGAAGTTTTAATTGAAGTACCATGTGATGTTTTTGCACGGTCAGCCAACAGAACTAGAAACTCATGGGTCACTACAGCATCCCAATGAACAGCCTCACTCATCTAATAACAATAGGTAGAGAACAACAACCAAGATTCAAACATCATAACAATTAGCACACATATTCAATACCAACATATCCAAATTAAAGCCTTGAAAACTAAACAGATGCTCCAGAACATGCTTTTTGACTAACAAAATATAATCCTTACAAAATAGAGAGAAATTATTACCTTGTTTGACCCAACACTAGTTGTAGGGGTAAGTAGAGCGGATACTACGGACAAAGTAGACCAACAGGGTCTTCGATAGATCCAAGTGCAGAAAAACGTCAAAACATTTTCTTTTGCCAAAAATTATAATCAATCTTGCGACGGTGGGCTGATTTACACCTCCAATTGTTCATAGCATCTTAGTTAGTTATTAGGATCAAATTACAATGCTCAAACTACAATATGAAATTCACATAATTTAGACAAATCCCCAAAACCAAGAACAATAGCTTATTACAAAGTTATACCAATACTACTTCCAATGTAAAAACTCCCAATTTCACAATCCACAGAACAGTTTCAACATATCAATTGCATCAGTAGAAATCAAACATAAAATCCAAGCAACAAACGGATAAGCACAAAAGGAGCAAAAAGGGCCAAGGATATACAATCCTTTACACATCCACCCACACCCCAAAAGCAAACAAAAGCGAGCAGGGGTGACTGAACAAAAAGCCTTAGCACAGGCAACACAATGGCAGCAACTACACAAAGAGAAGGAAAAGGTAAAAAACACAATGAAGATCCAAGCAAAAAGCACAAAGAAACCGCCAACCACAAGGACCCACAAAGGCAAGAGCAACTCCCAAACAACAACACCTAGCAACCCATGTGCACCACACAAAACCTGCTACAAACACTAGGCAGCAAAAACCAACAGGGGACTTCCACCAGCAGCAGAACCCGAGCCAATGCTTCACCAGCAACCAAAATACTCCAGCCCTATCCCAGTCAATCAGCCTCACCTTCCAGGCAAGGGAACAACATCTACCAAAGCAAAAAAACTCTGCAAAGCAACAAAACATAACTAGGCAGTAATCTGTCATGCCCAGCAGAACCAGCAGCACCCTTCGAAAAACTAACAAGCAAGACACCAAGGAGCTCCAACAACAGACAATAACCCCGGAAAAATCAATCAAGCAATGACACGGTTACTATCAAGACATGGTAACTATTTCCCAATTCCTCCCTTCTTTCTATAATCAAATCGATCGTGTCCATGTCAAATTATATACTTCCAGCATCAACTGTATCCTTAAGCAGTTAAACACAACATCGCAAGTTTCGCAAATTTCACATTAATTTCCAACATGGAGGATATGCAACAACAACTTGATCAAACACATGTCATGGAATAGTGGGAAAAAAGAAAAGCATTTTCCCCTATAACAATTTCACTTCTAGTCAAACACTGAAAATCACCCAAATCCTTACTTCCTTAGCTTCACCCAGAAAGTTGAAATTCAAGATCACAACTCAACCATAACCCTTTCCACAAGAGACCAAAACAGCAGAGCTGAAGAAGCCATTATTATGTAAACTTTAACTTTGATGGATAATGATTGAATAAGATAATAATTATGAAAAAAGAAAGCCATGATGCAAAATCAGTGGGCATAACAAAGAGATTCTTGATTTGAAGAAGTAAACTTTACCGTGTAGAAACTCTCGACCACTTTCTGCGACTTTCTCGGACCTTTTACTTTTGCCGCTAGTTTCTTGGTGAAGGTAGAGAGACGAGGCTGAGGTGTTTGATAAAATGTTTTAAAGAGATAAGACTTCCATTTTAATTAACGGTTGTTGATAGAGGGTTGAATTCAGTATTTAGGTTAAGGAAATGCGAGGGTCGAACAACAAGAAGGGTTCTGGAGTCGAGGGAGAGCGATGGGAGAAAAGAAGAAATTTTTTAACTTGAATAGGAAAACAAGTCTAGGTTAATTTCAGTTTTAGGGGTAAAATATTATTTGTGTACTATCATTTTTCAATTTTCAAATTGGATTCCCTCCGTAGCTAAACAAACACGTAATTTACTTTTTAATCCAAATAGGATATTTAAATATCAATTCAAAATAGTGTAACAAACAAACCCTTATCTTTTTAACGTGGGATTGAATAACTTTTGAAATACCCTCGGCTCTGTTTGATTTATTATTCTGATAGTTTTTAGAATAATCTTTTGAAAAAAGTTAAATTGGACGGGTATTACGATGTAGGATTTAAAAATTAATAAAAATATCCCCTATGTTTGTTTATTTACTAAACACCCCTATAATAAAATATTAAAAGTTAACAAAAACACCCCCAACCCACCCATTATATACGGACAGTCGGCCACCACTGCCGGAGGGTGGTCGGAGTGTTTTTGCAATTTCTAAAAAAAATATTTGAGGGTGTTTAGTTAAATTAACAAATTTAGAAGGTTTAAAAGAAATTGAAAAATATAAAATAATATTTTGAGAATAATGACATTCTACTGTTTAACTTTTTTGGGAATATTAATAATGGTATTCCTAAAAGCGAAACAAACGAAGCCCTCGTAATTACTCTTATAAACTGTTTAGATATTTTCAAGAAAACATTATAAATTGCATATCCAGCTTAGTTTTCTACACAAGTAATATAATTCTACTTCTACTTTCCAAATTGGGAACATTCTTTTTTTTTTTTATGATAATTAGGGTGTCTTTTTTTATAATGCGGTGTTTGAGTCAGTTTGTGTACACTTCGACAATTCTAGACCCACTGAATACCTTATGAGACTAATGTTGTAAATTAAGTTATAAATATGATAGATGACTTAAGGTGTTTAAACCCAGAAATAATGAATAGAACAAACCTTCTTGATGTCAGGAACCTTTCGGAGTTAACATTCAAGAGCTTAGCATTTAGCAATGAACCTTGTCAAGTTGTCACGTGCTTTTGCTTTGATTTGATTAGTCACAAACACGAGGGATTAGTCATTGAATAAATTGCATGAGTTTGTATATTTAATCTAATGACATGAAAGCAGCGTATTCTCTAGTTGATAAATTAATTATAAAGATTTAAGCATTCATAAATATTCAAAATGAAAATGAATGCAATCTGAAATTACATCAACTAGGACTAGTAGACAGTGAAGTAGCTGTAGCTGCCTTTCCGCTCAAACCAACAACTGGAGGCTTAAGATCAAGTCTTATGCAAGCACTGGAGCCACAGATTGTCTACACTAATTGCTGCCAATAAAATTAAAAATTGGGTTTGGCCTATTTAATAATCAGATTTTGACTTAAAGAGCTGAAAGTTCAAGGGCATTTGGGTCCTCCTTCCTTGGTCTTCCAGTTTTTGTAGAAGGGCAAACTTGTTGTTGCCGTAACACCAGGAGGCACGCAAAGGCATTTGTTGCAGCACTTTTGGCAGAAGAAAATGCATGGTCTTGTGTGATGTGCTGAGATCTATACTTACACTTTGGTTGCAATCTGTAACGAATCAAATGTGCATGAATTTCATGTCAAAATTAAAGACAACACATAATTAAGCTTAATCAAGAGTTTTTTACCTGATGGTTTAAGGCTTTATAATTACCACCACCATAAACCTGTTGACAGAAAAGATTAATTAATTAGCAAACAATAATCACAACTTAGCATATATATATAATTAAGTACCAGCCACATTGGAGAGAGTAAGCAAGAGAAGCAAGGACACCAACAGCAAGAGGGAGTACGAGAATAGGCCATTTTTTTTTTTTTTTTTGGGAGTGACTGCTGTGCTGGGACTGTAATATTAGAAGAAAATGGAATGGAGAAAAGAGGAGAAAATGGGAGGATATAAATAGGAAGAGAGGGAGATGGTAAAGCAATAATTTAAGCTTAAAAGAAGGCGTGAATTAGGGTTAAGCAAAAGAAAAATCATACGGGTTTGAAGGAAAAAGTGAGCGATAAAAGCGGCGTGTTGGATGTATGTTTTGTAATTAGTTGAAGTTTATTGCCAGTTTCGTCAACTTAGCATGGTTAGGTTATGTCTTTATCAACACTAGTTTCCATTAAAAAAAAGGAGTGTTAGTAAACAGTTATTGAAGAAGGAGGACATTGGAAGTTGTAGAGAAGAGAAACTCAAGACATGCAATTCTGTGGGTTAATTTGATTAAAACATACATATATACTTTCTTTATAAAGATGAGATCTAAACCATACATTGTACATCATCAGATACGATGTGAAAATAGATCAAATCTGGAAGAATGTCAATAATTTTATTTTATGTTTCTCATCACTGATGGTGTCCTGGAACAGTACGGTCGACATGGAGAGAACATGGCATAATGATTGTTTTGTGATTAAATTGTATCACTACTCACCGACAAACAACCATTTTTTTTTTTTTTTTAAAAGAACATCGAAATATTAAGACATTAAAACTTAGAAATGATGCACATAAAATTGAAGTGCCAAAAACTAAATGAATGGGGAACTGGTTTTAGAAAAGAAAAAGGCTGTTACAGATGATTACTTTACAATACAGAGAGAAAATACTTTGGTCAAGCTTAAACGATTCATTCAAGTCAAGTCAAATCACATCTATTATTTACGGATTCTGCTATAATTATGTTGCCCCACCAATTCAATGGTTTCCATAAAAACGAAAGCGTCCAAATCTAATGGGTATTATTAGGTAGGTTATCACTAGATGACTTGCCGTTGAAACATACAAAAAATGATTCACTGAATTTGTAATTGCTGCATAACAACAGTTAAATTGTGTTTCATTACTTAATTACATATTATTATTCACGTCAGCCCCATGAAAACGAAATATGATTATCATTAACCTTATTATTATGAAATATGATTCCACAATTAAAAACATACTTTTACCTCAATCACGTAGCAGTGCAAAGGAAGAATAATAACGGATCAACCGAATCATTGGCATTTGGCAGTGCTAGATAGACATCTAAACTTACGTTCACAAACAAGACATATGTGATTTAATAATAATAATAATAAATAATTTCACGCATAGTCTTTACCCCCTTATTTCCATCTCTGTATAGCACTTTCAAATGTGTAAAATTTAACCCAAAAGAGGATAAAACACTACCAAATAGTGTTATTATGAAATGATAACAAATCACTAAACTAACACCAAACTCAACACCATACACAAACACTTAAAACACTGCAATGACACCCCACAAAAGCCGCTTGCTGGGGCTCTATTTCTAATTCTGGTAAACATTAGAAACCAAGAAACTCAACCTCCCCCATTTTTTAAGGGGTTGCCTCAGAAAACTGACCTATTCGAGCATAGTTAAACCTAGTCCGGTTGTGCAGCGCTAGCTGCTGGACTCCTTGATAGTAGCTCAGAGAGTTTTAAGGTGAGTAATCATTTCCAATAATTTCTTCATGTCCCACAGTTCCATGTTTGGGAGGACATTACATGCACTTGCAGCTAGTGCAACAGAGACAAAAACTATGCCCTTCAGGCATCCATGGCCTCGTGACATCGTCCCAAAATCACCTTGCTATCTTGTCTGCCTCCTCAATAATGCCATGCGGGCAGTATCTTCTGACTTTGTATGGCTTTCTCATTCTGTATGAACACCAAACAGAACTAGTTAGGAACCAAGTATTAATTCCACTTATAAATCATCACCATTCAGCCGTTTAGGCTGAAACTAAAATTATCAAATACTATAAAAAATGGTAATTAGTAAGGTTTCAATTGTTAATAATGAATCCACTTTCTTAAAATCAAGAGCACTAGGAATGTTGCATCAGTCAAAGAAATTATTAGAATGCCAGTCATAAACAAAAGTCACTGAGGATTCAGGAGAAAAAATAATTTAGCATCAATTATGGAAATTTACATGATTGAATTTTAAAAAAAAAATTCATAGAAAAAAGACTACAAAACCAGGCTGAAAGTGCTTAAACAAATTCTTATCCATAAGTTTTCCCAGTAAAACACAGAAAACATTTTCTTCCATGAGTTATAATGCCTTTAAATCAAATATCTGTCCTGAAGGACCTGATCGAGTGAAATACATTACCTTCTGCCTAAAACTCTTTAGAGCTTCCCTCAAAGCTTCAGACGTAGGACATTTAACAGAGTGCTCCTTCCATTCATCAGACAGCTTTCTCAGAACGGCAACACTTGCTTCAAGATTATCCAGATAAACCATATCCTATAAACAATTTCCTAATATTTTTAGAAGCAACAAAATTTTTAATGGGGTGAAAGGCGGGGATGGGGATATTAAAAGTTAGTGTCAAATGAACAACTGAAAGATCGTTAACTATGAAAGAGAAAAAGCTCACCCATTGCTTGTAACATTCAGGATTTTGAGTCAAGCACCAAATCAAAATGTCACTTGCTTCACTTGATAGGTTAGGAACTCCTGCACAAAGCATCACACATCAACTTATGCCAAATCTATCAACCAAGTCTCTTCTACTTTCAGATAAAAGGAGTGAGGGTAATCTCACTGAAAAGAAGTCTGATATCACTACCTTCTCCAGCAGCTTTAAGTGCTAACTGCATTATCTGCTGTGCAACTTGTTTCATGGCTTTGCTACCAGGAGCACCAGCAAGGGAAACCTCTTTTAGGGTTGGATAAACAGCCTCAAACCTTTCAGTTGCCTAAGTAAAACATAAAAAATTGCATTACAACGAAACTTCTACACATGTCCAATCACATATACTGCAAATACTCCACAACAGAACCAACCTTAACTCGAGCTGATGATGCTGGAAAGGTGACTCTCATCAAAATCTCAAGAGCTGACGGTGGCACTAGGCGCTCCCCTTTTCTGAAAGCACCATTTAATAAAATAGGGCGGGCTTTTGGAGAGGATAATATTCTGAATTCACCCATGAGAGCAAGAAGTTAGAAAGAAACAGAACAAAGTTTTGTGTGCAATAAAAAAGTCTTAGAAACATCGCATAAGAGTATAAAACATAGCAAAAAAACTATGTTGCATCTCAATGGTGTCCAACCTCTCCACCAGCTGTAAAATCAGGTCTCTAGCCTGTGGATTACAACTTGACTTGCCACTCAACATGGGCAAGAGAACCTGCACCCATATGTACAGCCCTACAGCCAAATCTCCTTGGGCGGCCTAGTCAAACAGAAATCCCAATGTCCAGTTAAAAAGCTCATCTTCCAAAAAGAGCGGCAGGAAAATCAAACTATCAATATTGCTGTAGTCACCTGCATAATCATCCAGATGGTGACAGGAAGCTTATCTTGTCCTTGATATTTGGGATTTCCCCTCATTATAGGCAATAAACTAACCAATACATCAGGTTTCCGTCGCAGTACCATGGCTAAAACCACAAATATGGCTACCTGCAGTTCCAACATAGCAACAATCATAAATTAGTTAATCAATTAACCAGCAGATATACTGTAAGTGGCAGGGCAACATCTGTAATAGCAATCAATGCAAATTACTAGCTTTGAGGTATAGAGCTTTGAAAACTATTCTCATGTCAATCAACAACATCCTATGTAAAGGGACGAGACACCATTGATTAAGAGCTTCTATCCCAACTCTTGCTTCTAAAAACTAAGAATTCAAATGGCTTACAATATCCCAGATTTTTAAAAGTCAAACAAGTTCTGAGCCTCCAAAACAGCATGGTATTTAAATTTATTTGCCCTTGGATTTCTTCCAATGAGAAGTAAAAAGGTAAACGCAACCTTGGAAGATGGCAGGAGGAACAACAAGAATACAATTTGCTTTTCTGCATCGTCTAATGGGAGTAGGCTTATATATAGCTCAAAACAGTTGCTGAATTAAAAGTTAAAAACACTACAATCGTTCAAATGTGTGACAGGTTTTCTTCTCATTCGATATTCTGAATATTCAAACGCACATGAACCTCGTACTGTCAGCATTTTGTCCCTACATGCTCCATTATATGATATCTATTTTGACTCATTACAATTGAATATCTTACAACTAAAACATCAAGGATCATGAAAAAAAAAAAATTAACAGATTAGATAGACAAAGAAGTCCAAAATGCATCAACTGTCGTGCTAGATAGAGAAAAGATATAATGGATAATCACAATTGAGAATATTCATTTAACTTGTGTCTTTCGTGGAGTATCATATCCTTTTAATTATAGGTTCTTATAGAACAACGATAGCACACATGGCTAATATAGAGATATAATCAACTGTCATTACTATTCAGCCAACAGTGGTATGACGCAGTAATATAAACAAGGCCAATTTATAATCAAAGTTCATCAGAAGTCTTCCAAAGAAGTGATTCATTTGGGTGGTGACATTCAAATGTCTTAAACATCCTGGAAATCAAAAATACAAAACTAATATCAAATCTATAATACTCCGCATTAGTCCATATTTCTATCTACTGATGATAGTAAGACATGTACACATATCAGAACAAGTTCGAAATCAGCATCAAAAGCTAATAAGTTAGAGTCAGCCTTGGAATTTCAAGTCCATTCCACTGACTTATTTTCTTCAATTGTTTGCCTTTTTGCAATGACCTTTCCATCAATTAGCTTCTTAGATGATCTCATTGTGGTTTGAGTCATAGGTTTTAATACTTAACAAAATAGCTCTCGTCCTCCCTCCTAGAGGGCAAACTTGAAGCACGATATTCAACAATGAAAAAATAAAAAATAAAAAAAATAGCAGGGATATAAATGGAACCATAATCTATCACCATTGTCATAACACCAACACAATTGGTAAATAGATGCAAGAGCTGATCTCAGCAACTTTCAAAACCTCAAAGGACAAGAAAAAGTTAGATGAAAGTGCAAATCTTTTGTCAAAAAAAGATAAAAGAGATATTACAAATAAATTTTTAAATTTCAGTCTGCATTAATCATGATCCCTTTCAGGGAAACTGGCTAGTTATGAACATCAAACCGTGAGCCACATCACATGGCCATCTTCATATAGATTTTTTTTTTTTTTTTTAAAAAAAAAGGGGGGGCTATCTTCTATATAGATGATGGACCTAATAGGAAAGCTAAAAGTATCAGATTTGGTCGAAGCCAGAAAACACTCTGAAATAGCTAGGCAGATAACAGCCATTCCATCAAATGAAAACACAAACATGTTTTGAGGTGCATTGAAAAGTAGTATAAATGCATCGTGTTAATGGTCCCAACCTTTGTTTAGTTACCAAGACCTTGAGTTTGGGAAGCTGTCACGCTCTTATGTTTACTCCATCCAAATGAGAAACACGAAAAAGAACTTTCGGGTATGCTGTTACATTACAACTAGCCACTAAAAAAGCAAGTGTCTTCTACTCAGCACAGACATGACATTCTCTCAATGACTGGTTATATTGCAACATGATAGTAACCATGTCCACAAAGATCCCTCATTTATCTCTTTAGGGCCAAACCAGCATTAATTACGCATAAAACATATCAAATGTGACATGGCAAAAAGATACCTGAGACTTGGACGATGCTTGTTGAACAACCTTTTTAGAACCCTTAACAGCTCCTTGATGACTTGCAAGGACGGCGAGAATGCTGTCCAATGACCATAACACAAAGGATCCAAGTGCATCAAAAGATCGCTGGTTGAGCCAGTCAACTGATGTCTTATAAACATCTTCAGCGATATGAGAAAGAGGGATCTGTTCACAAGTAATATTGGTAATAAGACTTTTGAGTAAGCTAATCAAATAAATAATATCTTTAAAAAAAAGCATTAACATAGCATGATTAGACATCTTAGATGTTAAAATATTATGATAATCAGAAATTTAAACTCAAAAAACAATAATTGATGGTGAAAACACTGATCATTTCATTAATCTTCATATCGTTTACTTAAAATCAGAACATTGATGGTGAAAACACTGATCATTTCATTAATCTTCATATCATTTACTTGAAACCAGAAAATTGATTGCATCTCGCGTATTGAAATGAAAATTGATGCAATTGCTTCCATTTTAACTTGTAAATCATTTGCATGCAACAAAAAATATGAAACATCTGAGATAAAATTTTCATGAAAGCTCATTCACATTTCAAACTTTAATGATCCAAATCTCACTCACATCAACTATCTTGGCAACAGTGGACTCTCTGAACGTCTTCAACCAAGGAAACTGAGACGAACTCACAGATGCAAACGCACGACCAAAGTAATCCGCGAATCGCATCAGCTGTATATCTTGCTGTTTCTCATACAAAGCCTATTCAATATTCATTTCAACAACAATTAAAATCAATGTTTTCACAAGCCATGCAAAACATAAAACTCACAAACCGAAACTTTTCAAATTGTTAAAAGATAAAGAGTAAAATAAAAGATCATCACTCACAGTTATGTCAACGAGAAAAGCTCCGAGTTCACCGGCGTCAATTCTCGCAGCTGCCTCCGCCACCGTAACTTTAGGCTTCTTGGGCTTCTTCTGTTTAACTTTCTTTACCTCCGCGTCGGCAACGGGAGGTTCAACATCACTATCGTCATCTTCATCAGAATGCCTCTTAGATCCATCAACGGCGACGTCTTCCTTCGTCTGGGCCTCGACCATTCGGCGTCGACGATCCTCCGATTGTTGTTCGATCGACCGGAAGATATCAGAAGTAGTGGCACCACCATTAGGGCGGCGATCAGTGATTGAATTCTCTGTATGCGATGGTTTCGAGGATTTCTTTCGATACGACACCGTTTGCCAGGCGTAATCATTTGGCTTATAGTAGTAGGTGCTGTTCTCCAGCTCGTCTTCTCTAAGAATTTGCTCGATAATAGCTGAATTCTCGTCCATGGTGAGAAGATCAGTCATTCTCCCTCTTCAGAAACAATTCCCTCAACCGAAACAACAGTTTCTCTACTTAAAAGAAACTGTGTTTACGTCGAACAGAGATCAGATCACAGTAAGAAAATATAGAGGGAGGTCCGGTCGGGTTTCGAAGGAGACGACAAAATGAGGAACTCAGAACTCTGTGTTAAAAGACACGTGGATTTAATGTATTTGTTTAGGTTTCCAAGTTGACCTCATTGAAGACATAAATAACGTAAATGCCACTATCCGGTAATTTTGATTGATGGATGCTGATATGATTAGGATTAGGATAAATAAATAAATCTCCAACAAATTTTATAATTAGAAGAAATAGTAAATCAATAGAGTCCTGCTTTTTAAGCTCACTCAGCCATCCTATAGTTTAGCATGTTAAATTCAGAAGGTGGTTGGAAATCAATCAAATTATGTCAAAACAAATAGTAGAATCATTAATAAAGGCTGAAATTGAAAGGGATGCTTAATTTGGATTATTGTTGTGAACAAATTTATAGTCTATTTATACAAAATTAGGGGATTTTTCTCATTTAATTTTGGGTTTTTTTATATAAAAAATTTTAAATGTAAATTTTCGCTTTCAAAAGCAATTATTATGAATAATTCTATGAAAACTCATTTTGTTATAAATCAAAATATATCAATTTTTTAATTTTGTTTTAGAATTATTTTTTCAAATGTCGCGGTTACGTAAAGGAAATTTTTTTTTTCCTTCTTTCTCACAAAGTCAAATGGTGTTCCCACTCAATTAATGTTACATTACCCAACTCACATTCAATCATTCATGGTTAATTACCTTTTTATATCTACTTTATATTTAAAATTAATCTTATTCCACATAAGCATACAATGATGTCAACTTGTATTTAAATCAATAATCTACTTTAACAATAAAATAAAAAATATTTATATTTTAATGAATATAGATTGTTACCATGACATTATCTTATCCTTGACTGTACAAGCTTAATGCTCCACTAACATCTTATATTATTTTATTTTCATGTTCTTATAAGTTTCCATTTATTAGTAGTTTTTATTAATTTTTAGTCAATATCACGAAATTTAACTATCATTGAAATACGAGTAATGCTAGCCTTGTTTACTCCCCCTACTCACTTCTCTTACTCGCCTTTGTTAAGCACAGTGAAGAAGTGAATAAAGTTAACATTTTAACAAAGGTGAATAAGAGAAGTGAGTAGGGGGAGTGAGTAAGACTAACATTACTCTTAAAATACATCTTATCATATGCATTCATAAATAAATTACAATATACTCTCTCTGTTTCATTTTAATAGACGTTTTAGGAAAGTATTTTTTTGCCAAAATAAATTGTTTGACTACCCCATCTTCTCTTTCTTCTTCGATAAATTCCTCTGTCCTTTGTATTCCAATTTTCTCTGCCCTCATCTCCGCTCTCTCTTTCTTCGTCTCTGCCCCTTATCTCCTCTCTCTTTTTCTTTTTCAAATGCAGGTGAAGAGCAGCGGGAGAATCAAAATTTTTCCACTGCAATTTCAGTGAAAAAGTCAATACGAGGAGAGAGAAATTTGTTTTCTTAAAAATTATGCAAGATCTTAAAACGTCACTTAAAAAAAAGGGAGGGAGTAATTAAATCCGTATATACCTAATCCTTATAAGAAAAAATATTAATATGTTTAAAGATATTCTAAAATTACGACCGAATATTTTTTTATTTAATGTTTAAATTTATGAAATATTTCATTTTTACATTTTATCGCTAGCCATCCATTTAGGACCAGATCAACCTGATCTGATGGTGTCGGGCATTTTGCAAATTGGGAGTAAAATGAAGGGTACAATGGGAAGATGATATTGTACGATATAAACGAGAGTATAGTGGTGGGGCCAGCCCAGTTGACGGCCCACGGGAGTATTATTGTAGGTTGGCTCTCCATTAACTCTTCCGAATCCACTCTGATTCTATCACAAATTCACAATCACTATTTGGCCCCACGGAATTAATTCTTATTATTACCTTAAGGACGATGGTAACACTTTGTTCTCCCTCATTAAGGGGATTAGGAGAAAGGTGGCGGGTGAAACAATACCCCAACTATATTATTTATATTTAATCAAAATATCTATATATTATTAAGAGTAAACTGACATTTTTACACCCAAGGTGTGTTTTAATAACACTTTTTTCCTTTGAAACCTTCAAAATACCTTTTTTTTTAATCCAAAATTTATATTATGTTAATATTTAAATAAATTTTACTTTTTTAATTGGTGTTCGATAAGTTATCAAGAGATAAGACAATAAAAGTTTTGTACAATGAAGGTTGGATCGAATAGTGGTGATCAATTAAATATTCGTCGTTGGAATCAGTCAAAAATCAGGTAAAAATAAAAAATCTTAATTTCGCAGTAATTGGTAATCAACGAGAAATCAAGTTTTAGAATGAGAAAAATTTTGTAAAGAAGAAACCGAAAGTTCAAATAACGGTGACAAAAAAAAATTTTTATTATGAAAATCGATTTTGAGTATTAACAAAATTTAAACTTTGTGATTAGAAAAGCATCGTTAAGACTTGGGACAAACCTCGGATGGGAAAAAGTTGGTTACTCGTATTATTAATTTAACTTCGAATTGCGCTGTTAGTAAGTGATTATAAAGTAAATTATCGATTCTATTAATTTAAGTAATTGAAAAGGATAATGCTTTTTTGGCTTTACGTGATGTTACAAAAAGTTTTTGATTTTAGCCAAGACAGTTTTACATTTGAGAAACTATCTGGTTGGTGCGAGAGTAAGAATTCTCGATATAGCATTTGATTTGTGTCACGTGTTATCATGAGTTGGCAAGTCAAGCCTAACAAATTGCAAGACTTTTTGGTAATTTGGTATTCTCAGGTGAATTAGATTTTTAGTTAAAATACATAAAGATTTTATTGGATTAGTTAACTATCATGAGTTTTTTTTTTTTCAATAAAAATATTTAATCAGATTTTATAAAAAAAAATTATGATAAATTGTATAAAAAACATTATAACAATATTAAAACTATATAAAAAGAAAATTATAGTGAATTTGAGATAAATTGGCAGTGAAACATAGAAAAATTAACACAATACTTTGATATTACTCTTTAATAAAACAAGTATTACAAAGTAAAATAATGCAAGAATATTATTTTTTGAGAAGAAATTATAAAGCAAATTTGTTCTATTAATACATATAATTTATGCATTTCAGTTGCAATATACATTAATGATATAAGTTAGGATGATCTCATCCACCCAAAATATCTCCATCTAATAATCTAAAGTTTATGTTAAATAAAATAAGAAAAAAAGAAAGAGAGAAGCACCCTTGAAGCTGCCTATATTTATTAACAAATAATGTGGTTGAAAAATTACTGAATTATTATTATTATTATTAAGTGGTAATAAGTAGACTCATCATCATACACTGCAAGATATTTTAGGAAATAAATATTTGAAATTTTATGCAGGCTATGGAGGGAGAATTAGAGATGAATTCAGTAATTCACCATAAAAAGTATTCAGCATCCATGCCTCTGTACAACCGTCCCAAAATCACCTTGCTATGCTTGCCTGCCTCCTTCAATAATGCAATGCGGGCAGTATCTCTGACTTTGTTAGGCTTTCTCATTCTGTATGAAACCCAAACAGAACTAGTTAGGAACCAAGTATTAATTCCACTTATAAATCATCACCATATTCAGCCGTTTAGGCTGAAACTAAAATTCATCAAATACTATAAAAAAATGGTAATTGTAAGTTTCAATTGTTAATGAATCCACTTTCTTAAAATCAAGAGCACTAGGAATGTGCATCAGTCAAAGAATTATTAGAATGCCAGTCTAAACAAAAGTCACTGAGATTGAGAGAAAAAAATATTTAGCATCAATTATGGAAATTATACTGATTGAATTTTAAAAAAAAAATTCATAGAAAAAATGACTAACAACCAGGCTGAAAGTGCTTAAACAATTCTTATCCTAAGTTTTCCCAGTAAAACACAGAAAACATTTTCTTCCATGAGTTATAATGCCTTTAAATCAAATATCTGTCCTGAAGGCCCTGATCGAGTGAAATACATTACCTTCTGCCTAAAACTCTTAGATTTCCCTCAAAGCTTCAGACGTAGGACATTTACAGAGTGCTCCTTCCATTCATCGACAGCTTTCTCAGAACGCAACCCTTGCTTCAAGATTATCCAGATAAACCTATCCTATAAACAATTTCCAATATTTTTAGAAGCAACAAAATTTTTAATGGGGTGAAACAGGGGATGGGATATTAAAGTTAGTGTCAAATGAACAACTGAAAGATCGTTAACTATGAAAGAGAAAAAGCTCACCCTTGCTTGTAACATTCAGGATTTGGGTCAAGCACCAAATCAAAATGTCACTTGCTTCACTTGATAGGTTAGGAACTCCTGCACAAAGCATCACACATCACTTATGCCAAATCTATCAACCAAGTCTCTTCTACTTTCAGATAAAAGGAGTGAGGGTAATCTCACTGAAAAGAAGTCTGATATCACTACCTTCTCCACAGCTTTAAGTGCAACTGCATTATCTGCTGTGCAACTTGTTTCATGGCTTTGCTACAGGAGCACCAGCAAGGGAAACCTCTTTTAGGGTTGGATAAACAGCCTCAAACCTTCAGTTGCCTAAGTAAAACATAAAAAATTGCATTAAACTAACTTCTACACATTCCAATCACATAACTGCAAATACTCCACAACAGAACCAACCTTAACTCGAGCTGATGATGCTGGAAAGGTGACTCTCATCAAAATCTCAAGAGCTGACGGTGGCACTAGGCGCTCCCCTTTTCTGAAAGCACCATTTAATAAAATAGGGCGGGCTTTTGGAGAGGATAATATTCTGAATTCACCCATGGAGCAAGAGTTAGAAAGAAACAAACAAAGTTTTGTGTGCAATAAAAAAGTCTGAGAAACATCGCATAAGAGTATAAAACATGCAAAAAAACTATGTTGCATCTCAATGGTGTCCAACCTCTCCACCAGCTGTAAAATCAGGTCTCTAGCCTGTGGATTACAACTTGACTTGCCACTCAACATGCAAGAGAACCTGCACCCATATGTACAGCCCTACAGCCAAATCTCCTTGGCGGCCTAGTCAACAGAAATTCCAATGTCCAGTTAAAAAGCTCATCTTCCAAAAAGAGAGGCAGGAAAATCAAACTATCAATATTGCTGTAGTCACCTGCATAATCTCCAGATGGTGACAGGAAGCTTATCTTGTCCTTGATATTTGGGATTTCCCTCATTTAGGCAATAAAACTACCAATACATCAGGTTTCCGTCGCAGTACCATGGCTAAAACCACAAATATGGCTACCTGCAGTTCCACTAGCAACAGTCATAAATTAGTTATCAATTGACCAGCAGATATACTGTAAGTGGCAGGGCAACATCTGTAATAGCAATCAATGCAAATTACTACTTTGAGGTATAGAGCTTTGAAACTATTCTCATGTCAATCAACAACATCCTATGTAAAGGGACGAGACACCATTGATTAAGAGCTTCTATCCCAACTCTTGCTTCTAAAAACTAAGAATTCATGGCTTACAATACCCAGATTTTTAAAAGTCAACAAGTTCTGAGCCTCCAAAACAGAATGGCATTTAAATTTATTTTCCCTTGGATTTCTTCCAATGAGAAGTAAAAAGGTAAACGCAACCTTGGAAGATGCAGGAGGAACAACAAGAAACAATTTGCTTTTCTGCATCGTCTAATGGGAGTAGGCTTATATATAGCTCAAAACAGTTGCGAATTAAAAGTTAAAAAACACTACAATCGTTCAATGTGTGACCGGTTTTCTTCTCATTCAATATTCTGAATATTTAAACGCACATGAACCTTGTACTGTCAGCATTTTGTCCCTACATGCTCCATTTATGATATCTATTTTGACTCATAACAATTAAATATCTTACAACTGAAACATCAGGATCATGAAAAAATAATTAACAGATTAGATAGACAGAAGTCCAAAATGCATCAACTGTCGGGCTAGATAGAGAAAAGATAAAATGTATCACAATTGAGAAATCTTTAACTGTGTCTTTCGTGGAGTATCATATCCTTTTAATTATAGGTTCTTATAGAACATATAGCCCACATGGCTAATATAGAGATATAATCAACTGTCATTCCTTTCAGCCAACAGTGATATGACGCGGTAATATAAACAAGGCCAATTTATATCAAAGTTCATCAGAAGTCTTCCAAAGAAGTAGTGATTCATTTGGTGGGTGACATTCAAATGTCTTAAACATCCTGGAAATCAAAAATACAAAACTAATATCAAATCTATAATACTCGCTTAGTCCATATTTCTATCTACTGATGATAGTAAGACATTCACATATCAGAACAAGTTCGAATCAGCTCAAAAGCTAATAATTAGAGTCAGGCTCGGAATTTCAAGTCTATTCCACCGACTTATTTTCTTCAATTGTTTGCCTTTTTGCAATGACCTTTCCATCAATTAGCTTCTTAGATGATCTCATTGTGGTTCGAGTCATAGGTTTTAATACTTAACAAAATACTTCTCCTCCCTCCTAGAGGGCAAACTTAAAGCACATATTCACCCACAATGAAAAAAAAAAAATAGCAGGATATAAATGGAACCATAATCTATCACCATTGTCATAACACAACACAATTGGTAAATAGATGCAAGAGCTGATCTCAGCAATTATCAAACCTCAAAGAACAAGAAAAGTTAGATGGAAGTGCAAATCTTTTGTCAAAAAAAGATAAAAGAGATATTACAAATAAATTTTTAAATTTCAGTCTGCATTAATCATGATCCCTTTCAGGGAAACTGGCTAGTTATGAACATCAACCGTTGAGCCACATCACATGGCCATCTCATATAGATTTTTTTTTTTTTTTTAAAAAAAAGGGGGGGCTATCTTCTATATAGTGATGGACCTAAAGGAAAGCTAAAAGTATCAGATTTGTTCGAAGCCAGAAACACTCTGAAATAGCTAGGCAGATAACAGCCATTCCATCAAATGAAAACCAAACTGTTTTGAGGTGCATTGAAAAGTAGTATATCATCGCGTCAAGACCTGTGAGTTTGGGAAGCTTCACGCTCTATGTTAATCCATCCAAATGGAAACACGAAAAAGAACTTTCGGTATGCTGTTACATTACAACTACCCACTAAAAAGCAAGTGTCTTCTGCTCAGCACAGACATGACATTCTCTCAATGACTGGTTATATTGCAACATGATAGTAACCATGTCCACAAAGATCCTCTCATTTATCTCTTTAGGGCCAAACCAGCATTATTACGCATAACACATATAAAATGTGACATGGCGAAATACCTGAGACTTGACGATGCTTGTTGAACAACCTTTTTAGAACCCTTAACACTCCTTGATGACTGGCAAGGACGGCGAGAATCTGTCCAATGACCATAACACAAAGATCCAAGTGCATCAAAAGATCGCTGGTTGGCCAGTCAACTGATTGTCTTATAAACATCTTCAGCGATATGAGAAAGAGGGATCTGTTCACAAGTATATTGGTAATAAGACTTTTTGAGTAAGCTAATCGAATAAATAATACTTAAAAAAAAAAAAAAAAGCATTATATAGCATGTTGAGACTCTTAGATGTTAAATATTATGATAATCGAAATTAAACTCAAAAACAAAATTGATGGTGAAAACACTGATCATTTCATTAATCTTCATATCGTTTACTTAAACCAGAAAATTGATGGTGAAAAACACGGATCATTTCATTAATCTTCATATCATTTACTTGAAACCAGAAAATGGATTGCATCTCGCGTATTGAATGAAATTGATGCAATTGCTTCCATTTTAACTTGTAAATCATTGCATGCAAACAAAAAATATGAAACATCTGAGTATAAAATTTCATGAAAGCTCATTCACATTTCAAACTTTAATGATCTAAATCTCACTCCACATCAACTATCTTGGCAACAGGACTCTCTGAACGTCTTCACCAGGAAACTGAGACGAACTCACAGATGCAAACGCACGACAAAGTAATCCGCGAATCGCATCAGCTGTATATCTTGCTGTTTCTCATACAAACCTACTCAATATTCATTTCAACAACATTAAAATCATGTTTTCACAAGCCATGCAAAACTAAAACTCACAACCGAACTTTTCAAATTGCTAAAATAAGAGTAAAATAAAAGATCATCACTCACAGTTATGTCACGAGAAAATCCCGATTCACCGTCAATTCTCGCAGCTGCCTCCGCCACCGTAACTTTAGGCTCTTGTGGCTCTTCTGCTTACTTCTTTACCTCCGCGTCGGCAACGGGAGGTCCACATCACTATCGTCATCTTCTCAGAATGCCTCTTAGATCCTCAACGGCGACGTCTTCCTTCGTCTGGGCCTCGACCATTCGGCGTCGACGATCCTCCGATTGTTGTTCGATCGACCGAAGATATCAGAAGTAGGTTGGCACCACCATTAGGGCGGCGATCAGTGATTGAATTCTCGTATGCGATGGTTTCGAGGATTTCTTTCGATACGCACCGTTTGCCAGGCGTAATCATTTGGCTTATAGTAGTAGGTGCTGTTCTCCAGCTCGTCTTCTCTAGAATTTGCTCGATATAGCTGAATTCTCGTCCTGGTGAGAAGATCAGTCTTCTCCCTCTTCAGAAACAATTCCCTCAACCGAAACAACAGTTTCTCTACTTAAAGAAACTGTGTTTACGTCGAACAGAGATCAGATCACAGTAAGAAAATATAGAGGGAGGTCCGGTCGGGTTTCGAAGGAGACACAATGAGAACTCAGAACTCTGTGTTAAAAGACACGTGATTTAATGTATTTGTTTAGGTTTCCAAGTTGACCCTCATTGAAGACATAAATAACGTAAATGCCACTATCCAGTAATTTTGATTGATGGATGCTGATATGATTAGGATTAGGATATAAATAATCTCCACAAATTTTATAATTAGAAGAATAGTAAATCAATAGAGTCCTGCTCTTTAAGCTCACTCAGCCATCCTATATTTTTAGCATGTTAAATTCAGAAGGTGGTTGGAAATCAATCAATTATGTCAAAACAAATAGTAGAATCATTAATAAAGGCTGAAATTGAAAGGGATGCTCAATTTGGATTATTGTTGTAACAAATTTATAGTCTATTTATACAAAATTAGGGATTTTTCTCATTTAATTTTGGGTTTTTTTATATAAAAATTTTAAATGTAAATTTTTCGCTTTCAAAAGCAATTATTTATGAATATTCTATGAAAACTCATTTGTTATAAATCAAAATATATCAATTTGTTATTTTTTTTTAGAATTTTTTTTCAAATGTCGCGGTTACGTAAAGGAAATTTTTTTTTCCTTCTTTCTCACAAAGTCAAATGGTGTTCCCACTCAATTAATGTTACTTACCCAACTCACATTCAATCATTCTGGTTATTACCTTTTTATATCTACTTATATTTAAATTAATCTATTCCACATAAGCATACAATGATGTCAACTTGTATTTAAATCATAATTCTACTTTAACAATAAATAAAAATATTTATTTTTTAATGAATATAGATTGTTACCATGACATATCTTATCCTTGACTGTACAAGCTTAATGCTCCACTAACATCTTATATTATTTTTATTTTCATGTTCTTATAAGTTTCCATTTATTAGTAGTTCTGGAGGCTTAAGATCAAGTCTTATGCAAGCACTGGAGCCACAGATTTGTCTACACTAATTGCTGCCAATAAAATTAAAAATTGGGTTTGGCCTATTTTAATAATCAAGATTTTGACTTAAAGAGCTGAAAGTTCAAGGGCATTTGGGTCCTCCTTCCTTGGTCTTCCAGTTGTTGTAGCAAGGGCAAACTTGCTTGTTGCCGTAAACACCAGGAGGCACGCAAAGGCATTTGTTGCAGCACTTTTGGCAGAAGAACATGCATGGCTTCTTGTGTGATGTTGCTGAGCATCTATACTTACACTTTGGGTTGCAATCTGTAACGAATCAAATGTTTATGACTTTGCATGTCAAAATGACAACACATAATTTAGCTTAATCAAGAGTTACTTACCTGATGGTTTAAGGTTATTATAATTACCACCACCATAAACCTGTTGACAGAAAAGATTAATTAATTAGCAAACAATAATCACAACTTTAGCATATATATATATAATTAAGTACCTCAGCCACATTGGAGAGAGTAAGCAAGAGAAGCAGAGACACCAACAGCAAGAGGGAGCTACGAGAATAGGCCATTTTTTTTTTTTTTTTTGGTGAGTGACTGCTGTGCTGGGACTGTAATATTAGAAGAAAATGGAATGGAGAAAAGAGGAGAAAATGGGAGGATATAAATAGGAAGAGAAGGAAATGGTAAAGCAATAATTTAAGCTTAAAAGAAGGCGTGAATATAGGGTTAAGCAAAAGAAAAATCATACGGGTTTGAAGGAAAAAGTGAGCGATAAAAGCGGCGTGTTGGATGTATGTTTTGTAATTAGGTGAAGCTTTATTGCTAGTTTCGTCAACTTTAGCATGTTAGGTTATGTCTTTATCAACACTAGTTTCCATTAAAAAAATAGAGTGTTAGTTAAACAGTTATAATCATAAACATGTTGTTGATGAGGATTCTGAAAATAACATACAGACGGTGGTCACACATCCCCGTATTTGAAGAAGAAGAACACTGGAAGTTGTAGAGAAGAGAAACTCGAGACATGCAATTCTTTGGGTTAATTTGATTAAAACATACATATATACTTTCTTTATTAAAAAACTCCTTGTAAAGATGAGATCTAAACCATACATTGTACATCATCAGATACGATGTGAAAATAGATCAAATCTGGAAGAATGTCAATAATTTTATTTTATGTTTCTTCATCCACTGATGGTGTCCTGGAACAGTACGGTCGCACATGTGAGAGAACATGGCATTAATGATTGTTTTGTGATTAAATTTGTATCACTACTCACCCGACAAACAACCATTTTCTTTTTTTTCTTTTTTTTTAAATGAACATCGAAATATTAAGAACATTAAAACTTAGAAATGATGCACATAAAATTGAAGTGCCAAAAACTAAATGAATGGGGAACTGGTTTTAGAAAAGAAAAAGGCTGTTACAGATGATTACTTTTACAATTACAGAGAGAAAATACTTTGGTCCAAGCTTAAACGATTCATTCAAGTCAAGTCAAATCAAATCACAATCTATTATTTACGGATTCTGCTATAATTATGTTGCCCCACCAATTCAATGGTTTCCATAAAAAACGAAAGCGTCCAAATCTAATGGGTATTATTAGGCTTAGGTTATCACTAGATGACTTGCCGTTGAAACATACCAAAAACTGATTCACTGAATTTGTAATTGCTGCTGATAACAACAGTTAAATTGTGTTTCATTACATAATTACATATTATTATTCAAGTCAGCCCCATGAAAACGAAATATGATTATCATTAACATTATTATTATGAAATATGATTCCACAATTAATCAACATAACTTTTACCTCAATCACGTAGCAGTGCAAAGGAAGAATAATAACGGATCAACCGAATCATTGGCATTTGGCAGTGCTAGATAGACATCTAATACTTACGTTCACAAACAAGACATATGTGATTTAAATAATAATAATAATAAATAATTTCACGCATAGTCTTTACCCCCTTTATTTCCATCTCTGTATAGCACTTTCAAATGTGTAAAATTTAACCCCAAAAGAGGATAAAACACTACCAAATTAGTGTCATTATGAAATGATAACAAATCACTAAACTAACACCAAACTCAACACCATACACAAACACTTAAAACACTCTGCAATGACACCCCACAAAAGCCGCTTGCTGGGGCTCCTATTTCTAATTCTGGTAAACATTAGAAACCAAGAAACTCAACCTCCCCCATTTTTTAAGGGGTTGCCTCAGAAAACTGACCTATTTCGAGCATAGTTAAACCTATATCCGGTTGTGCAGCGGTAGCTGCTGGACTCCCCTTGATAGTAGCTCAGAGAGTTTTAAGGTGAGTAATCATTTCCAATAATTTCTTCATGTCCCACAGTTCCATGTTTTGGGAGGACATTACAACTGCACTTGCAGCTAGTGCAACAGAGACAAAAACTATGCCCTTCAGGCATCCATGGCCTCGTGACAACCGTCCCAAAATCACCTTGCTATGCTTGTCTGCCTCCTTCAATAATGCAATGCGGGCAGTATCTTCTGACTTTGTTAAGGCTTTCTCATTCTGTATGAACACCAAACAGAACTAGTTAGGAACCAAGTATTAATTCCACTTATAAATCATCACCATATTCAGCCGTTTAGGCTGAAACTAAAATTCATCAAATACTATAAAAAAATGGTAATTAGTAAGGTTTCAATTGTTAATAATGAATCCACTTTCTTAAAATCAAGAGCACTAGGAATGTAGCATCAGTCAAAGAAATTATTAGAATGCCAGTCATAAACAAAAGTCACTGACGATTGAGGAGAAAAAATAATTTAGCATCAATTATGGAAATTATACATGATTGAATTTTAAAAAAAAAAATTCATAGAAAAAATAGACCTAACAAACCAGGCTGAAAGTGCTTAAACAAATTCTTATCCATAAGTTTTCCCAGTAAAACACAGAAAACATTTTCTTCCATGAGTTATAATGCCTTTAAATCAAATATCTGTCCTGAAGGACCTGAACGAGTGAAATACATTACCTTCTGCCTAAACTTCTTAGAGCTTCCCTCAAAGCTTCAGACGTAGGACATTAACAGAGTGCTCCTTCCATTCATCAGACAGCTTTCCTCAGAACGGCAACACTTGCTTCAAGATTATCCAGATAAACCTATCCTATAAACAATTTCCAATATTTTTAGAAGCAACAAATTTTTAATGGGTGAAAAGGCGGGGATGGGATTTAATTTAGTGTCAAATGACAACTGAAAGATCGTTAACTATGAAAGAGAAAAAGCTCACCCATGCTTGTAACATTCAGGATTTGAGTCAAGCACCAAATCAAAATGTCACTTGCTTCACTTGATAGGTTAGGAACTCCTGCACAAGCATCACACATCACTTATGCCAAATCTATCAACCAAGTCTCTTCTACTTCAGATAAAAGGAGTGAGGGTAATCTCACTGAAAAAGTCTGATATCACTACCTTCTCCAGCAGTTTAATGCAACTGCATTATCTGCTTTGCACTTGTTTCATGGCTTTGCTACCAGGAGCACCAGCAAGGAACCTCTTTTAGGGTTGGATAAACAGCCTCAAACCTTTCAGTTGCCTAAGTAAAACATAAAAAATTGCATTAAACTAAACTTCTACACATGTCCATCACATATACTGCAAATACTCCACAACAGAACCAACCTTAACTCAGCTGATGATGCTGAAAGGTGACTCTCATCAAAATCTCAAGAGCTGACGTGGCACTAGGCGCTCCCCTTTTCTAAAGCACCATTTAATAAAATAGGCGGCTTTTGAGAGGATATATTCTGAATTCACCCATGAGAGCAGAAGTTAAAAGAAACAGAACAAAGTTTTGTGTCAATAAAAAAGTCTTAGAACATCGCATAAGAGTATAAACATGCAAAAAACTATGTTGCATCTCAATGGTGTCCAACCTCTCCACCAGCTGTAAAATCAGGTCTCTAGCCTGTGGATTACAACTTGACTTGCCACTCAACATGCAAGAGAACCTGCACCCATATGTACAGCCCTACAGCCAAATCTCCTTGGGCGCCTAGTCAAACAGAAATTCCAATGTCCAGTTAAAAAGCTCACTTCCAAAAAGAGCGGCAGGAAAATCAACTATCAATATTGCTGTAGTCACCTGCATATCATCCAGATGGTGACGGAAGCTATCTTGTCCTTGATATTTGGGATTTCCCTCATTATAGGCAATAAAACTAACCAATACATCAGGTTTCCGTCGCAGTACCATGGCTAAAACCACAAATTATGCTACCTGCAGTTCCACATAGCACACATCATAAATTAGTTATCAATTGACCAGCAGATATACTGTAAGTGGCAGGGCAACATCTGTAATAGCAATCAATGCAAATTACTAGCTTGAGGTAAAGCTTTGAAACTATTCTCATGTCAATCAACAACATCCTATGTAAAGGGACGAGACACCATTGATTAAAGCTTCTATCCCAACTCTTGCTTCTAAAAACTAAGAATTCAATTGGCTTACAATATCCCAGATTTTTAAAAGTCAAACAAGTTCTGAGCCTCCAAACAGAATGGCATTTAAATTTATTTCCCTTGGATTTCTTCCATGAAGTAAAAAGGTAAACGCACCTTGGAAGATGGCAGGAAACAACAAGATACAATTTGCTTTTCTGCCGTCTAATGGGAGTAGGCTTATATAGCTCAAAACAGTTGCTGAATTAAAGTTAAACACTACATTCGTTCAAATGTGTGACCGGTTTTCTTCTCATTCATTCTGAATATTTAACGCACATGAACCTGTACTGTCAGCATTTTGTCCCTACATGCTCCATTATAATGAATCTATTTGACTCATTACAATTAAATATCTTACAACTGAACATCAAGGATCATGAAAAAAATAATTAACAGATTGATAGACAAAAGTCCAAATGCATCAACTGTCGTGCTAGATAGAGAAAAGATAAATGGATAATCACATTGGAATATTCATTAACTTGTGTCTTTCGTGGAGTATCATATCCTTTTAATTATAGGTTCTTATAGAACAATATAGCACACAGGGCTAATATAGAGATAATCAACTGTCATACTATTCAGCCAACAGTGATATGACGCGGTAATATAAACAAGGCCAATTTATATCAAAGTTCATCAGAAGTCTTCCAAAGTAAGTGATTCTTGGGGGTGACTTCAATGTCTAAACATCCTGGAAATCAAAAATACAAAACTAATATCAAATCTATAAACTCCGCATTAGTCCATTTTCATATCACTGATGATGTAAGACATGTACACATTCAGAACAAGTTGTCAAATCACCATCAAAAGCTATAAGTTAGAGTCAGGCTCGGATTTCAAGTCTATTCCACCGACTTTTTTCTTCATTGTTGGCCTTTTTGCAATGACCTTTCCATCAATTAGCTCTTTAGATGATCTCATTGTGGTTCGAGTCATAGGTTTTAATACTTCAACAAAGCTCTCGTCCTCCCTCCTAGAGGGCAAACTTAAAGCACAATATTCAACCCACAATGAAAAAAAAAAAAATAGCAGGGATTAAATGGAACCATATCTATCACCATTGTCATAACACCAACAATTGGTAAATAGATGCAAGAGCTGATCTCAGCAATTATCAAACCTCAAAGAACAAGAAAAGTTAGATGGATGCAAATCTTTTGTCAAAAAAGATAAAGAGATAATTACAATAATTTTAAATTTCAGTCTGCATTAATCATGATCCCTTTCAGGGAACTGGCTAGTTATGAACATCAACCGTGAGCCACATCACATGGCCATCTTCATATAGTTTTTTTTTTTTTTTTTTAAAAAAAAGGGGGGGCTATCTTCTATATAGATGTGGACCTAATAGAAAGCAAAAGTATCAGATTTGGTCGAAGCCAGAAACACTCTGAAATAGCTAGGCAGATAACAGCCATTCCATCAAATGAAACACAAACATGTTTTGAGGTGCATTGAAAGTAAGTATAACTGCATCGCTAAGACCTTGAGTTTGGGAAGCGTCACGCTCTATGTTTACTCCATCCAAATGAGAAACACGAAAAAGACTTTCGGGATGCTGTTACATTACAACTAGCCACTAAAAAAAGCAAGTGTCTTCTGCTCAGCACAGACATGACATTCTCTCAATGACTGGTTATATGCAACATGATAGTAACCTGTCCACAAAGATCCTCTCATTTATCTCTTTAGGGCCAAACCAGCATTAATTACGCATAAAACATACAAATGTGACATGGCGAAAAGATACCTGAGACTTGGACGATGCTTGTTGAACAACCTTTTTAGAACCCTTAACAGCTCCTTGATGACTTCAAGGACGGCGAGAATGCTGTCCAATACCATAACACAAAGACCAAGTGCATCAAAAATCGCTGGTTGAGCCAGTCAACTGATGTCTTAAAACATCTTCAGCGAATGAGAAAGAGGGATCTGTTCACAAGTTTTGGTAATAAGACTTTTAGTAAGCTAATCGAATAAATCATATCTTAAAAAAAAAAAAAAAATTACATAGCATGATTGACATCTTAGATGTTAAAATATTGATAATCAGAATTTAACTCAAAAACAATAATTGATGGTGAACAACGATACATTCATTATCTCATATCGTTTACTTAAACCAGAAAATTGATGTTGAAAACACTGATCATTTCATTATCTTCATATCATTTACTTGAAACCAGAAAATTGATTGCATCTCGCGTATTGAAATGAAATTGATGCAATTGCTTCCATTTTAACTTGTAAATCATTGCATGCACAAAAAATATGAAACACTGAGATAAAATTTTCATGAAAGCTCATCACATTTCAAACTTTAATGATCTAAATCTCACTCACATCAACTATCTTGGCAACAGTGGACTCTCTGAACGTCTTCAACCAAACTGAGACGAACTCACAGATGCAAACGCACGACCAAGTAATCCGCGAATCGCATCAGCTGTATATCTCTGCTGTTTCTCATACAAAGCCTACTCAATATTCATTTCAACAACATTAAATCAATGTTTTCACAAGCCATGCAAAACATAAAACTCACAAACCGAAACTTTTCAAATTGCTAAAAGATAAAGTAAAATAAAAGATCATCACTCACAGTTATGTCAACGAGAAAAAGCTCCGAGTTCACCGGCGTCAATTCTCGCAGCTGCCCCGCCACCGTAACTTTAGGCTTCTTGGCTTCTTCTGCTTAATTCTTTACCTCCGCGTCGGCAACGGGAGGTCCAACATCACTACTCATCTTCATCAGAATGCCTCTTAGATCATCACGGCGACGTCTTCCTCTCTGGGCCTCGACCATTCCGTCGACGATCCTCCGATGTTTTTCGATCGACCGGAAGATATCAGAAGTAGTGGCACCACCATTAGGGCGGCGATCAGTGATGAATTCTCGTATGCGATGGTTTCGAGGATTTCTTGATACGACACCGTTTGCCAGGCGAATCATTTGGCTTATAGTAGTAGTGCTGTTCTCCAGCTCGTCTTCTCTAAGAATTTGCTCGATAAGCGAATTCTCGTCCATGTGAGAAGATCAGTCATCTCTCCCTCTTCAGAAACAATTCCCTCAACCGAAACAACAGTTTCTCTACTTAAAAGAAACTGTGTTTACGTCGAACAGAGATCAGATCACAGTAAGAAAATATAGAGGGAGGTCCGGTCGGGTTTCGAAGAGACGACAAAATGAGGAACTCAGAACTGTGTTAAAGACACGTGGTATTAATGTATTTGTTTAGTTTCCAAGTTGACCCTCATTGAAGACATAAATAACGTAAATGCCACTATCCAGTAATTTTGATTGATGGATGCTGATGATTAGGATTAGGATAAATAATAAATCTCCCACATTTTATATTAGAAGAAATGTAAATCAATAGGTCCTGCTCTTAAGCTCACTCAGCCATCCTATAGTTTAGCATGTTAATTCAGAGGTGTTGGAAATCAATCAAATTATGTCAAAACAAATAGTAGAATCATTAATAAAGGCTGAAATTGAAAGGTGCTCAATTTGGATTATGTTGTAAACAAATTTATAGTCTATTTATACAAAATTAGGGGTTTTTTCTCATTTAATTTTGGGTTTTTTTATATAAAAAT